CCTAGAAAAGCATGAAATTATTTGCATGAAAAAACTTGTCTGGCTGTAAATTATTTTCTCTCCAGATCTCTTTTCTAAGCATTAGTTTTTGCAATGCATGTTAAATGTGCAATTAATTTTTTTTTTCTCATTTCGCTTAAAAAACTTGTTTACTAAGGAATTTCGATTTCCTCACACTGTTTATTTTCATATAATCTATTGTTAAAATATTTGAAAGCTGGAAGGGAGACACAAACTAAATTGCATCTTAAATCCTCTGAAAGCCTGGACCGTTCTGTTTGTTTTTGGCAGATGGAGAGGAGAATTTGGAGAAGTCTGAGCTTCAGGCCATCATAGATTCGACTCCTGAGCTGGATATGGACTTTGATGGCGGCAGAGGAACAAGGTACAGGACCTGTTTGGTGCTGCAGCTTCTTATCCTGTATGAGGAAACATAGGCGGTGGTTAAAGATCATCGTAAAACTGAAACATTTTCTTTTGTGTTAACTGTTTGAACAGCACACCAACTATAGGCGGCATAGAGAATCCAGCCTTCGGCCGAAACAACGATTCTTTGTTTGACGAGCTGGCCTCTGCAGGGAACGACACGATAGGCGACGTGGACGAAGGAGCCGACCTACTTGGTAAAACATCTTACTCTACCAGGATGTTTCAACTTCTGTTTTTACAAACTCTCTGAGTTTTCTTCTGCTCTGGCTTGCGGGCGTAACCATCGTCACAGATGAGTTCTCTGGTGTGTATCAGGATTTCCTCCATGTCCACTTCACTGTGTCCACAGAGTCTGTTTTGTCCTCCTGGTTGTAGCTGCCTATAGCGATGCTGTTTGTTTTTATTTGGGGTGTTTTAGTGTTTAGGATTGTGATTACCTAGAATATAAATTTTCAAAAGAGATGTAATTTAAATACATTTTTCTTATCCTCCTTTTTATGACTGACTTTCAGTCTGCAACCTTTTAGGTAAGACTGAACATTTGTGTGGTGTTGGCATTGGCAAACAGAGGAATAGAGCTGGTAGATGATAACTCCACCAAAAAACATAATACTGAACGTGTTGCCTGGATGTTTATTTTCAGGTATGGGTCGGGAGGTTGAACATCTCATCCATGAGAACACCCAGCTGCTGGAGACCAAGTTAGTAATAACCACACTTTACTTTGTGATCTCTCACAAGAGGAAAGTATTAACTTTACGAGGGCGGCCACGGGAAGCACGGTAGCGCTCATTTAAAGTCAATAGGAATGATCACACCCGACACAATTTTACACAAGGGGGCTGCGTAAGTCCGACTGAAACAGAACTCGGGTACATTTTATTCGGACTATGGAGCAACTCAGTGGCACTTTCATAGGTCTGAGAGGAAGAGAGACGTGGTTACAAAGTAAAACACATCCACTTTGGGGAAAAATACAAAACAAAATCTGTTAATGGCACAGGAAAAGAGTCAGTTTTGGAGTTGCACAGAGAATACATAGCAAGCAGGACAGACTCGTGTAAAAAAATCAATGACTCATTAAAAAACATAATACTTTACCCATGATAAGAGCTAAGGACGACAGAAAATGAATAAAGTAGTGATCCTCTGTAAGACTCGCAAAAACGAGGGACAGAAAGCACCGTTTATCAATCTCCTTGGAAAAAAATAACTTGAATGAGGGGCAGACAGAACGGGTAAGTGCAGCGTATCTCTCACCTCTTTATGTAAAAAAAGAAGGAAAAATGTCGCTTGACTTTCCAGATCTCTCTCTGGGAATCAACTCTTGACTCATTCAGGATTAAACGGTCCCACAGTGTTTATTGCTGTTTTTCTTTTCTTTAGACATAAATCTCATTATGTTTTTAATATATGAACACTCTCTTTCTGTTCTGTTTTGAGATTCTGCACAGATTTGTTAAGTGGGGCTTTGCTTTGTATAATGCGATAATTTCTTTAGTAACGTTTCATAATCTGTCCATTCAGATTTGGGAAATTGTTTTAATTTGTGTATAGCACAGAGACAGAAGTGAAAATAATTTGCACAGATCTGCCTATCCTGCCTAGTCGGAGCCTCTCTATACACAGTCAGTGTGACATGGAAAAAAAATCAGATAGGAGATGCAACCGGTGTGTTCTGGCCTATAGACTAAAGGGTTAGCTGTCTAGTGAAGTAGTCAGCAACAAAGGAGCCCCACAGGGGACGGTACTCTCAACATTTATTTTTACTCTGTAAACCTCTGACTTCCAGTACCAGACAGGGTCCCATCATCTGAAGAAATACGCAGTCATCGGGTGCATCAGAGATGGTAGA